CGCGTACTCGGATGGCCGTGACAGCGAAGCCAACCACAAGCTCGTTGGTCGTCGACGCCGCACCCTCGGGCCCAGACACAGACAGTGCATCCGTGCCTGCACCCGACACAGCGGTCGTCGTTCCGCCGACCACCGTCGCGGTTTTCACCTGTGCCGGTCCCGAGTCGGTAATCGTGACCACCGTCGTGTCTGCCACGCCCACGGAAACGCCAGGGGTAGACGTGCCGGTCAGCTTGACGTCGAACGTCTCGCCGCCGTCGTACCATGCGTCTGCGGCCACAACCGCGTTGTACACTGTTTTTCGTCGACCCCGGCTGGGATTGTCACCCTTCGTCGTCTCGACCGTAAAGTCGGTTTCCGCCCGTCGCGAGTGTATCCCGACTATTTTGCTCGTCGCCACATTCCATCATGATTGTCGTACGACGCCGTCGTGTCCATCGTCACCGTGATCGGCACATTGACCACGCCCGATCCGGGCTCGGTCGCCGCAACCGTCCCGGCCGCCATCGTCACCACCGCCGCATCATCGTTGGTGATCGTCGCAGTCACGTTGACCACGTCGATCGTCGCCGGCATGTCGTTGTACTGGGCCACAAGGCCGAGCTCAAGTACCTCGGTCGGCTCGAGCACCCCGTCGCCCGACACCACAACAGACACCTGGTGTGTCGTCGCAAGCGCCGGGATCGTCATCGGGCTTCCCGTCCAAAAACACAGTGTCAACAATCGTCGCATTTTTATTTTCACATCCGCCGTCGACGTCACGCCATCGACCTCGACAACGAGTCCAGTCGCGTACTCGGATGGCCGTGACAGCGCCAGCTCGACCACAAGCTCGTTGGTCGTCGACGCCGCGCCCTCGGGACCGGTCACATCAATAACATCCGTCCCGTCGCCCGACACAGCGGTCGTCGTTCCGCCGACCACCGTCGCGGTAAGCACCGGCGCCGGTCCAGAATTCGGCAATTGTCACAACCGTTGTGTTGACAAGACCAATGGTCATATGAGCTTGTTGGCGGCAATGATAGCGACCTGG